AAGAAATCCTTTAGTGCAGGCCCCATAAAGGCCCTTTTGATTCTGCGTGTGTGTTGTGTGCCTCCCTGCTGCGCCACCCTCTGAGGCTGTCTTCCTGAACACAGCGCCTAGTTTCAAAAACGCGTATTCTCCATCCAATGCCAGACTGAAGACGTCTGTCATCAATAACCGCAGATGATGTTCACAGTCACACTACTGATACTATGTTAAACCGCTTTTTTTGTCTGTTTGAAATCTTTACTTAAATGCGGCTTTCTTTCTTTTGTTTTATGCGAGTTTCCAATGAAATGCTTGAAAATTCAAACTGGAGGAGAAACTACAGAAGTAAAACAAAGTTTTCAGGCTAGCCATAATACAAAAGACATGAAAAATGCAGTCTACTGTTATTATTATTAATATCCCATGCAATAAAAACAATGAACTAATCTACAATAAGTACATTTAAAGTGCCTATAATCTATTTTTATATTAACAATGTATGCATGACAATATGCAAGGGGTCCCTTGTAGTGTTGAACCCCACCCGCTCATCAGCAAACAGCACACAGGCACAGTTGGAGATTGATGGTTAACATACCGGAGCATTCAGCAGCATTTTGGAGACCAAAAAAAGAGCTAAAAGAGGCAGAATATTGGATTCTCATCCATCAGGTGGCCAAAAACATGACCCCAAAATACATGTTAAAGTAATGCTGGATGTTTCAATAAGCAACTATCTGCAAACAAATCTACCACTTATCAACCTAAAAGGTATATGTCAGCGTCGTGTTCACAACTTGTTTCTACTGCTGCTCTGCTAAGCTAGTTAGCTTTAACAGGCGTTTCCATTGTGATAGCATTAGGCTAATGCCTCATAAGTAACGTGGAATAACAAACTGAGTTACAAAGATGTTGGTTCATCAAAACGGACAAAAGACAAACTTTTGGACTTGTGAAATGTGCCCGTGGGCCTCGATGACCCTTCATTACAAGTGTACATGATGAGTCAAAGGCAACAGAAGATCTATTCGCAGAACGTTCTTTCCCCTCAGTCATATTCTGCTGCTCCCCCGTTGAAAGCCTTATTTTTAGTTCAGCCGTCTCTCTGGGTGAGACCGCCGGGCCTCTGCCAGGTGGAGAGGTGGAGAGTTGAAGCTGTAAGTGAGTGAGTGAGTGAGTGAGTGAGTGAGGATGAGGGAGACGTCTTCCCACTAATCCCACCTCCACCTATGTCTGTCAGTGTGCAAGGGGCCGAAGCAGCTGTTTGACTTGATGTGCTTCCCAGATGACCTCAGTGTGTTTACTGCTCGTACAGTCAGCGGAGCACAGAGACAGAACGCTCCCTCTCTGAAAGCTGTATTTTGAGTTTCCTGGCGTTCCTCTTGTTGTTTTTGTGCAAGTACTTGCTTACTTTTTTTTCCTCACTAGTAAGCTTGTGTGTGTTTGGTATTGGCACATATAAAGAGTTACAATCTTCTTTCTTTCATCCTGTCCCTGTGTGTCTTTCTCTTGGCCCGTTTCTCCCTCTCCTCTCCTCTCCTCTCACTTCTTTCCCATGCCGCTCTTTTCTGCCTCTCCCTGCCTCTGCCAGTCGTCAGAACCAGTTGAAGGATCAGGCCCAGCAGGCTCTGGTGTCCCCCGCTCACCTCCCAGAGGAGGCCGAGTGCCTCACGGTGCCCAAGTACAAGAGGGACCTTGTTCAGAAGCTCAAGATCCTCCGCCAGGAGCTGTCCCAGCAGCAGCCTCAGGCTGGCCACTGCCGCATCGAGGTGTCCCGCGAGGAGATCTTCGAGGTGAGGATGGAAAAGAAGCGAGCTCAGTCATGTCGTCTTATTATTTGAAACTCACAACGGGGGGGCCTGTTATTAAAAGGGTACATCGTTTAACCCAGAGAGAAATCCAGTCGTCACAGCCAGAGCATGCGTGAAATGAGTTAAAATGCATAACAAAATGGTAGAACAACATGGAAATTATCTAATATTTGCTCCATTGCACAACCGCCTGCCCTCATATTCCCCACAACTCCCAGCAAAACGGCACCAATATCTCGTGCTTTTATATCTGCAGAGCCGCTTGTAATTGTACAAGTTATTTATTGTCGCGCCCGAGTTATGTTAAAACATCCCCCGAAGGGTTTTCTTGTCTACTCCCAGAAAGGTCATTGCCTGTAATAGTTTGGCTGTGAGAATGATTTCTCTCTCACACACACAGTTATCTATGATGTGTGACGCTAGTCTGTTCAAAATCCAAAGCAGACCGCGTCTTGTTTGAGATGAGGATTTTCTACAAAGTACATTTTCTCAGCTGGGAGAGGGTTTTGTTTTTTTTCTGCATCTTGGAGGCGCGGGGCCTTCATCAGAGCAGCAACACCTGCAACAGACTGCGTGACCCTCAATAAAATATGCACTGGAATGTGCTGGAACAGCCACGTCTGTTAATCTGAACGAAGACATTTTTGTTGGCTGATCTCAATGTGTGTGAGAGAGAGAGAGAGAGAGAGAGAGAGAGAGAGAGAGAGAGA